TAGATGTAATTAGGTCCCGGATCTAATTACTTCAGATTCCTTTCACGAGGGCCAAATCAGCCAGGCTCCCTGGAGCACCTGGAGCAAGGCATTAATAATCAATCACGTACAAACAGAATGCACTGGGCTACACCCACAGAAAACGCCAAAGAGCAGTGAGGCCATTCATCACAGGCTGCAGTGCAAATGCAGAGAGTCGACTTGATATTTGCTTCGAATAAGGGCCTCTAACACCCACTCTACCTGCGCACTGCTCTGCTGCTTGCTGCACACGAGCAAATTACCCCTGAAAAGACAGAACATGGCCCATAATTACACCCCCAAACATTTCACTGAAGTTTTTAGCCTTGATGGTGGCAAGACACTTTATGAAAGGCAGTGAGAGCGAAGCGGCTCAAGGTTTCTTATGGTTGCGGTAAGCCGCGTGTTTATTAGGGGTGTAAATCTCTGACCTCCCAAGGGGTCAATTTGATTAGGATTTTTTATGAAATGATTCAGTACATTGTGAAGTCTCAGATTCCACCACGATTCGATTTTGATCCGATTTGATTTTGGTACAATTCAATATAATTTGTACTATATTAATTGTTTATGTAGACAGTAGTGGCATAAAGGCAATAACAGCAATACACAATTTTTTTTATGTTTTCCATACAGAGTTTCAATTTGGCCAAAAAATTAGTGCATACTTTATTATATTATTAAATGTGATCTGTTATAATTTCAGATCCGTGTGGTTGAACTGACACCTTTAGATCAGTGAAGGATCATGAAGCATCAATGCTTTTTTTACATCCCTAGTGTTTATGAACGTATGGACTTGTGTGTGGGCAGCACTGGGTGTAGCCTGCAGCATAATGCATGGCACCGGGGGAAGCCCATGACGGTTTCCATGCAGCAGCAGCAGTGTGAGGAGCAGATGCAGTGATGAAGTGAAGCAGGTCAGGAAAGGAACAGGACCCAGGCGCTCTGCGGCCCCCTCTCTCTGCTCGCGAAAAAACAATACATCACCCTGCTGAGCGGCCGACGTGGCAGGCGAGAAAAATGGCCGAGCACTTAGGGAAAACAAAGACAATCAGGGCTTTCTCTCCTTCCTCCTCCCCTCTTTTTCCTTTAGAGAGCAGCTGCGGCTAGCCAGGAGAACGCAGAGTAAAACCTGGCAAGGCCGAGCACACGTTCGTTTTTACAGATGGCAGAGCAGACTAGTTGATAATTGAAAAGGAAGTCTGGGATTATGAGCCATTGGACAGGAGGGAGGCTATTTCTGTGCTTTCCTGTGTAATTGACACTTGAACTTGCTGGATCGAAACCCCTCCAAACACCCCCCCTCCTAACACCTCTTCCCCTGTACACACATACACACCTACCTCCCATCATGTTTTCAGCTCTTACTGCCCTCTAACTGCCCGAGGTCCACACGCCTGACTTAAACAACACAGCGCTCTAGACTGCAAAGACATTAATCAGGTCTGTTTTAGGAAACTATTGCTATGTGCATACATTACACTAACACCTGTGTGCACCTACTTGATGTGCAGTTGTACACAGTACTTAATCAGTAGTAACAGATGTAGTCTGCTGCTCCACAGCCAAAAATACATTATAAAAAGTCTTAGCATATTTTAGTAGCTAGACTAAATATAAATAGCTATGACCCATGTCAATGCCTGCTTTTATTTGCTATTTAAGTTTTTCCCAAACCTTTAAAGTTAAGCACTACTCAGTAGTGCCAAAATCAGCTCTGAGTTGTTGGCTAAGCATATCAAACATGACTTACAAATAAAAATAAATAAATTAGTGGTGTCAAAGTTAACACAGTAAATGAATACACTTAATGCAATTTCCTAGTTTGACTAGAACTAGTTCAGGCCGAAACCCTGCTCGGACACTGTATTTTGAAATGTCTGATCCACAACTGTAGCCCTTTTGTTCAAATGCAGCTTTTAAATGGCAAGTTCCATTGATGGCTGCTGTGATAAAACCAAAGTTATTTCCAGTTACTGCCGCTGGAAATAATGTAGACCTGACTTATCACTGAAGTAAGTCAGGTCTGCATCATTTACAAGCAAAACACACCACTGATGCAGGACTGTTAGTAATATCAGTAACTTTAGCACTGGAGGGCGCCTTGTGGAAGAACTGTGATAATTCAACAAGCAGCGAACTAACAGAGGCAATAGTAAAGTAGAAATCTACAGTTATCTTCAGCAATCAAGGAGTCCAATTAAGCAAATAAATGTGATTAACACACTTTATTGTACAATAATGTGCCTATTATTAATTATTTTAATTATTATCATTTGGCAACCCTAAAATAAATAGCTACCTGTATGACCAAACAAGTAAACAAGGTGTCTTTACTTCTACAGCGTGGTATTGTTGATGGAAATAAACATATAGTGATTCATCATACAGTTTGGCAATTTGGCTGTTTAGGAATTTTTAAAGCTGTTTTTCCATTCCATTCCATTTTAGTCCATTTCATTTCAATTAATTTTTAGCGCAACTTGTGTGGCCTTGTAGTGTAATGACACTGTTTGCAGACAGTTGTTCTCTTGTGTGTTTTGGTATGTCTGTAATATTGTCAGCTAAGTGTCCATCACTGATAAATTATGAAGGTTAAATAAATCCAGATACACACATTCAGTTGTCTGAGGCAAACACACATGTACCTGGTCTATATCAAGAGTAAAGAAACACCTTTGTGAGGAAACGCGGGTCGATTACAGTGCAGCCATGTGCAGCGTCCAGTGACTGTTGGGCGCTGAGTATGGATTTGCTTTAGGAGAGGTGATTTTTTGTTTGATTTTGTTTGCCTTGGCACTTTTGGGCCTGGTTTTCTGCTGCAGCTGAACAGTACCTGGTTTAGGGTGCCTTGACAAATAACCGGCGAGACCAGCGAGACAAATAGAGCCGCATACATCAGCTCTGCTCTCAGTAGCTGTGCTAATGCAGGCAGTCGAGGCAGGGCACAGGGAAACACGTGTGAGTGATTTGGCTCGGCAGGCCAGAGGGCCGGAGAGAAAACTCCGCTGAGCTGATGACGGACACTCTGTTTGCCTTGTAATGCTAGAACAGGATAGGAAAGAATAAATCAATCAATCATGGCATGCCTGTCAGGCCTAGCATGTGGCCCTCTAAAAACCCCACTGAGATAAGAAAATATATACATTCTCGCTTTAGGGATGTAGGAAAGCATTGGATTAGATGTAAATTATCTGTAATTTGATTTTAATCTAATTCGCTCATGGAGTATCTTGGATTTGAGAGCACACATTTGGACATTGGATACTTGGACACAGGTGCAAGATAAAGTCATAATTTAGGTTATTTGTACATTTACATTTCCGTGTTGTGTACTTCAATATTGTTGGAATTTATGTTGACACCTGCACCAAGGGAAATTCCCTGTACATCTTGTACTTGGCCATTAAAAGGGTCAGATCCTGCTATTCTGATTCAGTGAATGGAGAATTTGACAAATGTTATTTTCAGACATCCAAAAACCAAACAGAAAAAGAAAACAGTTGCATTTGTTTGGAAATAAAATTACACATAACGTCAAGCAAGTTTTCAAAGAACTGATGACAAGCTGATAGTCTAGAGAAGTAGAAAATGTCCAGAGAAGAGCCCCAATGGAGCAGGCAGGAGGGGTTTTAGAATAGCCTCTGGCCTGAAGCATGACCGGCCGGTCAGAGCGGGACTGCTACGCCTCGCTTGAAAAGGGCAATTGTCGTGGCGGCTTTGCACTTGCTGATAGCTCCACTAAAAACATTTCTCTATCCCATTAAATTATTGCCGTCATTTGGAGGCTTTATGGCCATGCCGGCTACCATCCCTCATTCCCTTTCATTTCTTTTCACTTTGCGTGTATCTGTGATTAATGGCGGATGTCGAGCGTTAGACTGAGCAGGCATCAGCGAATGCAAGATCATAATTAGTTTAGCTGACGCGGGGGCTCTCCGATAGCGCTCGCATCTGGATGGAAAAATTACCCTATAGGGAACTGGCTGCTCCCCAAAACTTTTTACTGATACGTTGTGAAACACCCGATGAATCAAGTGCCCTTTCCCTGCCAAGAAAGCTCTCCGGCCTCTGCGCCAAAATTATGTCTGCAGAAAGCTTTCCATTCGAAATGTATCAGAGCACAATTAGGAGCATTGTATTTTTCTGGCAGGGGGAACATACTCCCTACACAAGCCGTCTGAAGTTAAATAAATCGCACATATTCTATAAGGCCAAATGAGTTTTACAGGGGCCATAATCTGGATAATTCTCGCATGCTGCCCCGGCTGACTCCCCCCCTCCCAACTCATGGGATTCACTTGTAGTTTCTGTCACTGATAAAACCAGAAGTTCGCACATGATTCATGTGCCCATCTCTTTTTTTGTGGCTCAGTGGACCTCTTGTGTTGGGCTTTGTGGAGACGTAGAGTATATTGAATGTAGCCATATATAGTAAGGACGCGATATATCTAAAGATTTAGATTTTCTGTAGAGAAGATTCTAGATTTGTCACTCTCTGTGGAGACTTAGAGTCGGTAAGTGGTAAATAGGTTTCTGAAAGTGGGATTCCGCTGAGGGGATGAGAGTGGTTTGGTTGCTGAGACGCTCTAGGCATGTCAGTGCAGTGTGACTGACCCAGGCTGAGGCAGCTGGGGGAAGTTGGTGTTGTCCCTTCCAACACAGTGGTATCTTACAATTCCCATAAATCAGCAGAAGGTTAATTAGAGTGAGAATCAGTTGGGTTCTGCTAATCACGCTATGGTCTGACCTTCAGATTGGACAGAGCATGTCTCTCCCCATCAAGCTGGATTGCTTAGCTACTAGAATCCTCATGATATGTTTCTTTTTTTTCAGTTTATCTCTGAGTTTATCCATCCTCCCTCTTTGACTTTCTTTTTTCTTTTCCTTATCCCTCTATTCAGCCTTGTTAGCAGCCTGCAGCCTCATTCACTCAGATTCTAATTCTCTCTATGTCTTTTTTTAATGTTTTTTAGAGACGGCGGGGATCAGGGGTCTTCTGTGCCAACTGTCTGACCACCAAGACCTCTCTGTGGAGGAAGAACGCCAACGGGGGCTATGTGTGCAACGCGTGTGGCCTCTATCAGAAGCTTCACTCGGTAAGGGGGGCGCTTAGGGGAACAACCCAGTGAGGGAGGAGGTTGGGAGGGGGGGGGACGTTTTACCAGCCCACCTACGAATTCTAGAAAAAAAGTAAGAAAAGTCAAACCAAACGCAGAGGTGGGAGTGCAGCCGCTCCTGACTGACCACTGCATTTCCGTGCTGTTAAGCTAAGACCTGACGGCTGCTCCGAGGAGTCACTGGCCTTTTGGCCTGTGGGACAGCTAATGGCCCTCTGGAAGTAATCCTGCACCCAGCCAGAGCCTCAACTTTCCAAGCACCTCAACTCTGACCCCCTGGGCCAGGCACAATAGCCTTCGCCAGTCCAAAAGCCTGTCGAGTTCACACCTTCTCACACGCGCTTGCATGCTCTTAACCTCCTGCACACATCTCCTGATGCAATCTCACTCACTCTTCCTTTCCGTCTGAAAGTGTTCCACTCGAGGAGGTTTTTCTAGCTCACTGAGAGAAATGATGGCATTCCTTATCAGGCCAAAGTTATGATGTCAACACTCTAAAGGATAGATAAAACCTAATTTTGGCCCTATATCGAATAGATACATATTTGTTGACGCACAGGGCAGTCTACTTTTGATTTCGTTTATTGGTTTATATGAGAATCCTTGGAGCCCACATAATAGCAGAAAAACAAGCTCCTCCTACGTATAGACACAGCATGTCTCTGGGCTCAATCATGAAAGGACTTTACAATTGGATTGGGTTTATAGCGTTACAGTTTTTTCCTCTCCGACTTCAATTTGATCCGAACGAGCAAATTTGAGTCCATATGTGTGTGTGTGTGCGCATGTGTGTGTGTGTCATCTAACTCACTCATACTTGCCTGGAATCTTTAAGCGTACTTGTGCATCCTTTGAAACAGCATCTGGATAAACACGACGGGTAAACAAATTTGTCAACATGTGAGGAATTACACAGCCGAAACAGAGTAAGCATTGTGCGTGTGCCCAGAGTCCATTGCTAGAATTTACTTTGGTTATATATTCATACATTTAAGCTTTGGAACTCAGCTGGAACTGGGCTGAGCCAGTTTCCCCCCTTAATATGAGAAGCATTTGATCTAGGAGGCTCTCTTTCTCTGTGGCGGCCCTGGGCTATCAGCCCCAGAGCCTGGGTGGCGGGGGCCCCGATACAGGAGTCTGCCTGAGTCGGTGTGGTCGGCTAGGTTAAGGCAGCACGGTACGGCACAGCTCAGGCCACAAGGCGTTCTTTCAGAGACCGTGCCACCTGGTGGTTTGAGTGGGCTCGGGGCCCGTTGACAGCCCACCACAGACGCTCAAATCTGACTGTCTGTCTGCACCACTTACACTCAATGCTGGTTTCATGGCCAGGTTTAGGAAACACCGTATTCACGACGTGCCTTGCCACATGCAATGGAGAAATTAGATCCTTTGTGGTGTAATTTTGTCTTTTCTTTAACGTCTGCTGTATCTTGCTTCTGCCTCAGGCATGTATCGAACTTCAAAAATTTATTGACTTGATTCAAATTTGATTTAATTGACTTTGATTGAATTTATGCAAATTATGTGTCATCAACATACACTTCAAAATAAGAAATTGTGGAAAATACATAATCCAAACTATTTAATCCAAAACTGTGCATCTCAAAGCTCAAATTTTGACTTACTCAGCTGAGGTCAGTTTTAAAGGGCCTATATCATGGGAAAAGTTTTCTTGTAGTTTAATGTAGTATGTAAATGTTTCCAAATGTACCATTTACTTCCCATTCCATACAGTGTATGGAAATCAAACTGCAAAAACAGCCCATTTTCAAATAGTTGCTTTTGTGATGTCATGAAAAGTGAATCATTTACATATACCCCTTCCCTCTCAGCCTACAGCAGTTAAGCCCCACCCAGTCATATACAAGTTACAAGAAGTACCTCAGCCTGGACGTTTTTTTGAATGAGACATAACCCAAAGCGGCCAATCAGAATAGAAATCACTTACATAGATCAGTCTGGAAGGCACAGTAACTGAAAAGCCTTTAGTTCTAGGGGATAAAAAGAATTGGAAAATGGTCATGTAGAAATGAATTGTGATTGTCTTAGGTACATAAATCCCGACAAACGTGCGCCTCTGGGGGAAAATAATAATATATATATATATATATATATATATATATATATATATATATATATATATGGGCCTTTCAATGTATATGCTATGCTATCAGTAGTTTTATTAATAATTTAGTATTCAAGTATGAGACCAGGGTCCTTTCTGTGTGGAGTTTGCATGTTTTCCCCGTGTCTGCGTGGGTTTCCTCCCGGTGCTCCGGTTTTCTCCCACAGTCCAAAGGCATGTGGCTAGGCCAATTGGACATACTAAATTGCCCCTAGGTGTGTGAGTGTGTGTGTGAATGTATATGTCTGTATGTCTGCCCTGCGATGGGCTGGCGATCTGTCCAGGGTGTTTCCTGCCTTCTGCCTAAAGACCACTGGGATAGGCTCCAGCCCCTGCCAATCAGGCTGTGTACACCTCACGCTCCATCAGCACTTAATAAACAAGATGGACACAGAATTATCAGTGCATCAGCTTCCCTGAAACGTCTCTGATTGGCCACAGGATTGCCTTATTTGTTAACTTTTTTCAGCATTAGACCCCCTTTTAACTGGTGGATGCTGACCCATGTTCACTTTTATAGCTAAAGAGAGGAGAGAGAAGGAGGTAGGAAGAAGTTTAGGAGACTTTTTTTTTTTGACGGCACTTTTTCTTAGCAGCTAATTAATCAGCTTGACTGTTTCATGGATGGCACACTAGTGTAGAGTAGAGGCCTCTGTCCTTCATTCGGACTTGGCAATGGGATTCCAGTAGTATTTTTATACTTTTGAATAAAAACTTTTATATGCCGTACAGAAATCATTTCATAATATCACCTCATAAACCCACGCCGTAGTGGGCTCTAAATGGAGGTCTGGGCTCCTCGTGCTAGAACACATTGCAACAATAAATGTCTTTCAGATTTTATCTTCTAATAATAGGACTCAACATGCGCACAGTGCTGTGCTGTGTCACAGCCCAATATAAAACTCAGTGAAAAGCCTCTGTCTCATTTTTCACACAAGACTCATTGACACAGCCTTTTTATTATGTGGGACACAGACCTGAGGAGCTGAATATTGCCTGAAAAGTTTCTCTCAGCTCCTGAACTTTGTGAACCTCTAAAATAAAAAAGAAAGTTGGGAGGGATCCTCTAAAGCCAAAATGTAAAAGGATGATAACTCTGGAATAGCATTTATTTATTTATTTATTTATTTTTTGCTTTCCTCATGCACCACACTTTCAAAGAAGTGACCTCAGCCACACTGCTTCATGTTTAGTCCCGTAAAAGCCTCCTCCAGCCTTCTGAGCTGCACTGCAGCGTTGAGGAGGCTTTAAACGGCATGGAGGCAGGGGAACAGTGCTGGTTTTGAAATGTAGAAAACAAGCACGTGCGGGAGGAGCACTGAAAGGAATTGCGAAGTGAGGAGCACAGCGAGGTGCTCAGGGTTGCAGAGGAAAGAGAAACGTGAGGCTGAAGGTGGGCTTGGTTTTGTCTGTTGTCAGCAGAGTCGGGTGCTGTGGTCCGTTGCCTCGAGGCACACAGAAAGCAGTCAAAGAATCTCACTGCTCTGAAAACTTTTAAGAATGAGAATGCAACAAAATGTGAGAAAAACATGGAATGTACGTTATATATATATATATATATATATATATATAGAGCACTGTTCAAAAGTCAGAAACCATCCTTCATTTCTTTAACTTCCTGTCAAGTACAAGTTACTGATTTTTCAGGAGATATTTCTGAGATTAGATAGGAGATAATCCACTTGCAAAAGAAAAGAGAAAGTCAAATGAAAAAAAAAACAGATTTCCAGAAACGGGAAATTATTAAAAGTCATTGAAGAAATGGAAATCCAAACAAACTGTGCAAGACCTGGTAGACCACCAAAGCTGTCACCATCAGATAAACAGTTCTTAAAGCTTTCATCTTTGAGAGAGAGGAGAAAATCAAGCTTTACTCTTGCTTCAGATATGAAAAATCCACAGGTGTTTTTTTTTCCTGCAGATGTATTTGAAAAACAGAAGATTTGACCCACAAAATATTAAAGTTTTATATTTAGTCGTTGAGGCATTTGTATATTTTTTCTTAAATATATGTTTTCTGCTTTTTTTCCCCAAGCTGAAAAATGAATAACTTGTGCTTAATGGCTATTTTAATTAGAAATGGAATAGGTGTAGGGTGGTCTCTGACTTTTGCACAGTACTGAATATAAAAGATATATTAGGTAAGAGAAGCTCCAGCTGCAGAGCATTTATCTGGGAGGAATATGCAGCATGATCATCAAAGAGATGTAAGATGTGAATCACAGATATCTTTGTTGCGATGCACACAATCCTCCTGCATTATTATTCTTTTATATTATTCATAGGTATAGATAGAAATAAGAGCAAGAAATGTATTTCTGTTTCTTTCACTTGACTGTGTAGTTTGAAGGACTCAGATTATTTTATTTGCTTAGGTATTTAATTTTTGCATGATTCTAAAGTTATGAAGCAAAAATTACTTCTAGGCTTCCACAGGACAAACTTAACAAAGCTTAACTGTTTAGAAGAAAATTGAGTAATAAATGCTTTTGAGGGAAAATGTTACATGAATTTGAATTTGCAGGTATAAACTATAGATCCTGTTAATACTCCACTATATTAAAATTTTAATTTTGCCCAAATGCTTTTAAACCTCTGTACTGTATTTATTAGAGCCAGCATTGTAGTGAAGTGCAAAGAGAGAAGAAGTCTACCTAACATGCACTCATTTTTAATAAAAGCAGTATCTGTAGTTAATCATAATGCTATGAACTTAACTTTCATTTTGCTGTTCGGAAACCTTATAAAGAAAAAAATTGAAGACCTAAATGAAATTTCGCCTGGATAAAGGTATATAGAGAGATGATATGAGGAAAAGAGAGGCAGAGAGTGGTGCGTGTGTGCATGTGGTGTACGTGTGTGCTGAGGGCCAGAAGTGGTCCAGCAGTAGAGGGCACTCTTTCTTTTTGTCTGACTTTTCATAGAGCTCTTCTCTTTGGACAGACAGCCTGACAGCTCCCAAAGAGCCGAAGCTTTCATTTTCGCACCATCCAGCGCATGGCATTAAGTGAACTTAAGCAGCAGCGTGAAATTTGTGTAACTGATTCAGCTTTATTCCCCAACGAACAAACATTGCTCAAAAATATGTACTTTCTCCCATTGAGATTGAACATATGGTGCAGAGCCAGATAGCTTCTGTGGAAGGAGCGTCAGTAAAAGTGTGCGTCTACTTAAATCCCATTTCCCACAGTTTTGGGGTGGGGGTGGACCGTTGGGGGATGGGAGAATGATATGTTCTTCCTCTCTATCATCTTCACTTGCTGGGCTTCTCCCCTTTTCCTTTTTTTTCAACCCTTTCTTGCCTTCCTATTGCCTGCGTTTGCCCCAGGAGCATGTCGGCGGATCACGGTGCAATAAAGGCAACCAGCTGCCATGCGAGTTTAATGTCCCCTGCCGGCTTTCACTCCTCGCAGCCATCCAGCGACCCAGGCAGGAGGAAATCACAGCACTTTTATTTGCATTCTCGTTGCTTCTGGTGGCAAATTTGCTCTTCGCAGCCCCGCAGAAAGCATAAGAGCGAGAGAAAAAAAAAAAGACATGGCTTCACCTTCTTCTCCTGCCTCTGCCCTCCCAATTAGCTGTGGCTCCCGGGGGATTGTGGGAGTTTTCTGTGGAGAGAGGGAGAGATAGAGGATGTAGGAGTGTGTATCTGGTGGTGGGGAGAAGCGAGAGATGAGCCACGTCACCTGACTGAAGTTTGCTGCCCACATGCCAAAGTCAACCCGAGGCATGATGGGATATGAGGGCAGTAGAATAGATTGCAGACAAATCATGATATTGTGGCCATGGTGATGAATGAAAGCACAAGCAGTTCTTTCCCTTTCACCTGTAGGTACGCCACTGAGAGAAAAATGTCTTTCTTCACATCTTGCCGACCACAGTAGTTTCCAGTGTAGCACAGAAAGAGAAACCAGGATAAATGGTTTCACAAACCAGGATAAATGATAACCGTTCAGTTAGAAACAACAGCTCAGAAGAACCCATTTTAGGCACCTTTATTTTAAAAAGTTCCTTAGTGAGTCTTGGTCATACAGTTCTAGGGAAAAACCTTTAATTGGTGTAGAACCTTAACACTATTGAAGGTTCTTGAAGCTTTAAAAAGGTTATTCACACTCATATCTCACTTACAAAAGTTCAAAGAACCCTCCACTGAAAGGTTACTTAGGGAACCAAAAAGGTTCATCCATGGCATTGCTCAAAAGAGCTGTTTTTTGGAACCTTTGTTTTTAAAAGCTTCCTTAAACATTCTTGGACATTCAGTTCTAGGGAAAAGAATGTTTAATCGGTATAGAACATTTACATAATTTTAGGTTCTTAACTCATTAAAAAGGTTCTTTACTCTCAAATCTCATTTACAGAAGTAGTTGTTTTAAGAGGCATCCATTGAAATTTTACTTATGGAATTAAACGAGGTTCTTCTGTGGCATTGCTCAAATTTTTGACACCTTATTTCTTTGGCCAACTCCTAACCGCTTAATGCCTATACTAATAAGCAGCTACTTCTGCCTTTTCTCCTTTAATAACTTGATATCTCAGTGTGTTGTCGCATATATTTTATTAAGTAAAGAATCACAAATGACCTTTTTAGCATGGATGGAGATACACTTCACATTTCAGTCACCTTTTGTTGTTACTCTGATTAAGTAAATAAAAAAATAAGCTGTTAGTGAATGTGAGTGCATGCTCACTCTCAAACTGTTGCAGGGCATCCAACAATAAAGACAGCATCGTACTACTTTTATAAAGTAATAGAAAACATTAGCACTCAGAAACCTCCAATTCTACATGCTGATCTATTTTACTATGCCCAACCTGAAAATACACATTAAAGGGAACATCACCGAAGTCTCTACATGTATCGTTCACAAGACCGTAGTTTTCACAGTGTTAGACACAGGTTAATGTTTTTAACACTGTCCCGTCACACAATGATGTTGACTGACATTAAGGAATTAACTGCCTAATCCATGAATGAATATTTGCTTATTTGCAGAAAAGCTGTCTTACAAATGTCTGTATAAGAGAGCCTGGCGTAACTCAGCAGAACTAACAGAAACAAAGCAGTAATAATTAATAGTCTTTTGATGACCGATTATTACGCTAACCAGCCTAATTAGTGGAGTGTGTCCTTGGAGTCCCAGAAGAGATGAATCATTATGATGAAATCTCATTAGAATAGGGACCGTTTGTAGTACAGATACATGGAAGTCAAGCTTCAGCACTCTTCACACAAGGGGCTCTTTGGGTTCTTTAGAGTCTCCTGAGCATCTCTGTGAATCACACCTAAATGCTTTGTGGAAATAGAGACACTAAAAGGCCTTAAATCTTGCAGTGGAAGTGTGGTAGGAAATTCAGAGACTACGAAAATCTCACACATTCTGAACTCTAGCTGAGTAAAGGTAGCATTATGACCATGCAGTAAATCACAGTCATTTTTAGGGACATTTTAAGAATATATGTTTATCTTGACACTTAAGTAGTGTTTTTCTATGAAGCCATGGAATGGGAGATCCTTACTGCTGAGTGGGGCAGTGACCCCTCTCAGCCAGTAATGGACAGTTGAATATCTGCTTAAACCTACCAATACACCCAGTCCAGCTGTGTCATCTTGGACTTCTGTACCACCAGTGAAAGCAAGAACACTGCAAAGTCAAGTTTTATCCTCATGCTTTCCTGTATCTCCCCAATTGTTAGAGTCGTGATCTGGGAGTCTCCCTGTCCTGCACATTTTGGTGTTTTTCTGTAGGACTTATTTTTCTGCAGGACTTATTAATTGGCTGATTAGTTGGATCAAAAGTGTTAAAACAGAGAAAACACTGGAATTTTGAAGGGTACCTCAGGCTTAAGTATCTCTGTCCTATATATATATATATATTTATATATATTAGTGGGGTCAGAGTTAACATGTGACTGGTTTTCAAGCTGTGGTTCCAGCTTGAAGACCAGCTGTTGATATGACTCCATGATTGTATCCCTCTCATACAAATACAGTTTTTAAATAGCAAGAGTTGTTGATGCCACTCTTGACAAAAAAAAAAAAGTTATTTCCAGCTACTGCCATGCCATGAATTTATTTATTACCAAATATTACTTCATGTCTGAAGTACACAAAACAAGGTGCTGATGCCAGCAAGAAATATCAGTAATATCAGTAACGTGACCACCGGAGAACGTCTTTGGTAGACTATGCTGGACGATGCTCAAGGAAGAAAAATGGACAAATCAGTGAGGCGTAACTTAGTGGTATGAAAGTGAGAGGGCTTCAGTCGCCAAGGAGATGAACCATGAACTGTATATATGATATATAAGACATATACACTAATTGGTTAAAACATGCAGCCGGTGCTTTCACTGGACATGGGTGGTGAAAACTGGTAACTGTGGAAATGACGGGACTTTTGTATTCAAGTTCATATGGACTCTACATTCACACAATGAAAAGATTCAAAAATGTAATTATTGAGTAATATATAGAGTTATATATACATTCTGATAAAGCTTATTTTGTCCTATCGTATGGCTAAAAAAACCATGCACTGCTTTTTAAAATTAAATTTCATCAGAACTCTACGTCTCTTGGTATTTGTCTTTTATTTTGATCTGTGTTGTCTTTTTATGATTTCAAATTAATACTCATTATTTCTTCTATTACTGTGAAGCTTTATCACCTGTCTGTTAAGCACTTTGCGCAGCCACCGACATGAAAGGATTATTATTATTATTATTATTAGTAGTAGTAGTAGTAGTAGTCGTAGTGTAGTAGTAGTAGTAGTAGTAGTAGTAATGCATTGGAAAATCTCGGCAATTAATCAAAATGAACTACACTATGCAATTAATCACGATTTTTGCTGACAACCCCCCTTTTTTGATTTCACAGCTGTTTATAACCATCAATAATGATGTGATAAATGATAAATGATGTGTCCCAGCTTTAATAAGCTTTCATAGTGCTTAGCTTAGCTTAAACCCTCATGATGTGTCTCTCTCTCTCTCTCTCTCTCTGTCTTACTCTCCCCTCCCATTTTTCTTTTCTTCCCCATCTTTTCATTTTTCTCCATCTCTTCCTTTCTGTCTCTCTCCATATCTCTCTTTGTCTCTCAGACCCCCAGGCCGCTGAACATCATCAAGCAGAACAACGGTGAGCAGATTATCCGCCGGCGCACGCGAAAGCGACTCAATCCAGACAGCCTTCCGTCCGACCAGGTGGGCTCCAAACAGCAGCGTGTTAACAGCGAGGAGCGCTTGAACGGCAGCCCGCTGGAGCGCAGGCCAGATGAACCGGGTGCTGACGGGCCACTGCCTCGTGCTGACTCTGCCCAGGCCCAGCTGCCCAAGTATGAGGGCTATGGCCCGTCAGGCCCAAAGGGCCACCCCAGTCCCCGCTCCACCCATGCCTTTCTGCTCAGCCAGACGCTGGAAATCCACAAGCGCATGCCACCATTGCACATGCACAAGAGCCCCGTGGAGGTCGGAGCCGAGGGCAACGGCCTGAGCGGGGGCTCGCAAGGTGGTCCAGACAGCAAGGGCGGCTCTGAGAGGGGCAGCCCCATCGAGAAATACATGCGTCCGTCCAAGCAGGCCAGCTATTCGCCCCCCGGAAGCCCCATCGAGAAATACCAATACCCCATCTTCAGCCTGCCTTTCATCCACAGTGACCTGCAGAGCGAGGCCGACTGGCTGCGCTTCTGGACTAAGTACAAGATGTCCGTGCCAGGCAACCCGGGCCATTACCTCGGCCACGTGGCCAGCCTGCCCAATCCGTGCCAAAGCTTCGTGCCTTACCCTACCTTCGGCTTGCCCCCTCACTTCCCCCCGCCGCCCCCATCTTCTTCTGGACCGGATAGCGACACCCCTCTCGACCTGGCCATGAAGCATTCCAAACCTAGCCCCGTGCCCAATGGCGCCAATATGGCCAAGGAGAGGGCCCAGCTGGAGAAACGGGCCTCGCCATTAGCAGACAGAGAGAGTGAGCGGGACAGGCCAATAGAGGCCAAAGAGGTGGACACTGCCCCGCCACAGCCCACCAAACCAGATAGAGTGGATCAGAGCACCCAGGACGACCTATCCAGCAAGTGCGCCCACTGCGGCATTGTGTTCCTGGACGAGGTCATGTACGCCCTGCACATGAGTTGCCATGGCGACGGTGGGCCCTTCCAGTGCAGCATCTGCCTGCATGCTTGTGCTGATAAGTACGACTTCACCACCCACATCCAGCGAGGCCTCCACCGGCCAGCTCCAGACGCCAGCGCAAAGGCCACGGACGAGTGAAGCCTGTAGCCCAGCAGACCTTTCAGCACAACTCGAGCAGTATCTAAGGAACCCATCAGAAAATCAGTGCGAGAAAAAAAAAACAATGTACGAATGAATGCGTAGAATTTTCTTTCTTCTTCTTTTTTTGCCAAGATGGTTCCTGGTGCCTCTGCAATCAACATAGGGAGCTTCAGTCAGCATAGCATTTCTATTCGAGTTCAAACACAACAAACTCTTGGCTGTTTTCACTTTTTTAAAGAACTGCTTTTGAGGAAAATGGTACAAGTAGTTTATCAATTTAGATTTTTTTTACGTACTTTAACCCAGGCATATAATTTTGACAAAGCAGTTCAGTAAACTGGGTTCATCTACTCAAACTGAATTTCTGTTTATGTTCAGGCTGTTTCCAGCCTTCTGGAAAGTTCTCTTACCTGGTTTTGAACAAATCGAGGATGTGGGACTCCTGCATGCGTGGCAAAGAGTGTGCAAACATGCCAGTCCTCTGTCACTATGGCAACAGCATAAGTGATTTTTGTCCTCAAAACAAACATCCTCAGGGAATGTATATGGCTGAAATAGGCAAGACACATTAGTTTAGGCCTTTCTGTCTCTGGTTAACATTATACTAAATATCTTATGGTTTAGTGTTGCTTTTCATTAATGTATTTTTCCCCTCCAGTGCGTAGGGTCGGGTTATTATTGTTACATAATTCCATCAAGACATGTTAGCTGCTGCCTTAGTTGCAGGGATGCAGAGCTAATTATCACTCTAGAAATTTGGGAAGGAATGGAAAAAAAAGATATTTTTTTTTTCTAAGTTGTTAATAGGAATAATCATATTATCAGTGCCTGATATAATGTACAAAGTATTTTCTACCTGATATGTTGATATGCAACATTGAACTTGCATCTGAATAAGGGCCTTGAGCACGGCTCTGAAAAAGTTTACATTTGCAAATGTAGCAAACAAGGTAATGAAGCAAACACCTGCTAATTTTGTTTTTTTTTTTCCACCTAAACAGGAGAGATACGATCATTCATATTTTTCATGTTATTTTTCCTTTGTAGTTTCTTTTTTAAGGTGGAACATTCTTTGGCCACCAAAGGCACTATCCATTCCAAGTGTTGTTCTTCATGACTTTGTTTTGCCACCTTTTTTTCATGTACGTGTGCTTTATAGTCAAATGGCATGTTGTCTTGGACTTCAATCTCCCTGTGTTTGTCTACAGACATTGAACAAATTCAAGGGAAGCTGATAAGGCTTTATGTGCTAATTTTGGTGTGAATAAACCTCTTTGGCCCCCCACTGTCCAGGTATTTCAACTACCATGAATTCTATTGAATTCCACATTTTAGAAGAGTATAGGATTATCTTTATGTGATTTCCTATAGGAAACAGACATGGAAACAAACCTGCCAGTTACTCCGCATTATGTTCAAACATAGAGAACTGTTGTCGATACTTAGTAAGTGCAGGTGTTTTAGGTGCCTTTTGATGAAGCTTTCCTTAGAGAAGTGCAACATTATAATGCTGTACTGAGATACACTTTGGTTCAAGCTCGCTTTGCAGCTCCTTGTTCTTCTATTATACAGAATAGATATCAGACTATTACTGATCAAATGTTTTGCCCCAAAATGTCTCCATTACGCGTTTGGAATCATCTCCAATACTAAGTCATGATGACTTTGCGAGATCAACAACTTAGATTGTCAGGTGTGCATGCATTTTCACTTTTCTGTTTAGTTTTCAATTTCCTTTCAAAGGAGGAACCTCTGCGTCTAGTGTAACATAGTCCACAGCAGCTCATGTTTTTGTTTACTAGCAGCTTCAAGATGTCTGTACCCTCTGTTTTGTTCCACTGTACGTTTCTCCTACCCACAGTTCCCATTTTTTGGCCATGGGCTCAGCGAGCTGGGTTTTGCCTGGCTACACACAGACATTATTTATATGAACTGGGGAGGTGAGAGGGAGAGAGAAAGAGAGAGAGAGATACTCCGGATGTCTCAAGGTCTCAAGGACGTCTCTGCGTTTCACAGATCCTCACTTATAGCCTTACGATGCTGCTTAACTGCAAAGCCTCTTGGAAAATAATTGAAATAATTATAAACTGTCGCTTTTCATTGGAGCATTTATACAGTTGGGTATTACATGACGTAAGGATTTTTTTTTTTTGGGCAAACCTTTCAGTTAAATTTGTAATTATGTTAATGCTTGCACTTCAGTTATTCTGTTTATTGCCAAGGAAGAAAGATGAATCGTTTTATTAGCATGCTATGACTATGAACAGGTACTGCATTGTAATAAGTGAACAAGATTGTGCCTTTTTTTGTTTTTTCTTTGAAGGCCTTGTGTAAGGCTTTACCAACATTGAAACACAAAGGAGTATTTGTTCGTGCCTGGAAGCCAGTTTAGCCCTGGTCGAGGCAGAAGGCAAAACTATGTAAATGTTTTAACTATTATTTTTAGAACGTTATTGTTTTTACACTTGCTGCATTTAAAGTGCATAGAAGATGGTTTAGAATTTCTTTATTTTGGTTTTCTTCAACTGCCACCTTAACTTTTTTTTTTTGTTGTAGGTTTTTACATGCAAAAAGATTCAACAAAGATGGCAAAGATGTCTGTTACATCTAAACTTGAATAATGATGATGACGATAATAATAATAATGATAATAATAATTAATAAAGTAATAACAAAACATTTTGGCAAATGTTGTGCATGCTGTCGCATTTATTGTGTCATTTAAGCTTCCCCGCTCTGCAGTAAGTACCATTCTGTGGCATTTTATGCTCTTTAAAAAGAGATACCTACACATCCAGAGCCATTTACTATCTCCATTTTTCTTCAAACAAACAAAACGCCAAATCTCACACCTATCAGCTTCAAACAGAACAGAGCCTTGAGTCCACTGGTCAATGGTCAGTGCCGTTCAGATCGCCTCAGGTCCATTGATTATTCTGTCCAGTGTGGAGAGCTAGCACAAACCTGAGATGTTGATGAGCTGAACTGAGAGGACTTCCACAGTCACGTGACACAATCCAGATGCAACCTATGACCCCTCACTCTGCTACGTGAGAGCTCTGTTGTTTGCCATCTGACTGTTCTGCTTGTTGTCCTACTAGGCTGTTGGTTAAGGGCTCAATCATATACTGTCAGTCTGTTCACAACATCAACGATACCAAACGAAGACAGCAGAATTTAAAGATATTGCCTTGGCTCTTTTAGCTGAACAGCAGGGCTTTGACTTGACACATTAATTCTCCTGCAAAGGTGTTAATTTCTCTCAGCGTATCAAACTGAAGCCAAATATTTGATTAACACCTACATTCTGTCCCTGCATATGTGTTCATGTGAATGGAGCAACCATTAATTAAAAGTCGACAAAAAAAAATCTGGTTTTCAAACTTGAAGGAACTTTAAATGGTGCGAGACTAACTTTATAGTGTTTTTATTAAAATTCACCAGCCCAGGATAGATAGTAGACTGTTATTAAATAATTACGCTTTTGACAGCCTTGTGTTTGTCAAACCCAAATGTCCCAATGTCCTTCAAAACTGCAAACAGCAAAACACTTAAAAATAAAGCTGCCAATAAGGGCTCATTTGAAGTGATGCCATGCAGCGTCAGAAAAAGGGGTTCTGTAAAGGTACATTTTTGTTCATCAAGTTACAAACAGTGTCAGAGTACCCTCAAAGGCACAAACCCAATTCCTTCAAAGAACCACTGCCTGGAACCAAACACGTATCTTCTATGTTCCAGAGACCAATTTTGGCACCTCATTTTCAAAAGTCCACTGGGAAACAGGGAAATTGTTGAAGAAAAACAGTCCAGAATAGGCTATGCAGGCCGAAGACCTTCCGTTTTTCGCAAAAAATAATAGATAACACTTAATTTGGGGTGATCCTTTGTAGATAATTAATAAACCCATAACAGATTATCAGTAACACATCAACAACCTATCAGTGAAGTAGCAGTAGTGAAGCATCTGAACAATTGAAGTAAATATCTTGTAGATGTTCTGTTGATACATTACTTACGTTAAGTAGATGTATTGTTAATATGTTACTTCCATTACACAAAACCTAACCTTACCCAGCCTTACCCCAATCCTAAACCTCACCCTGGCCCTAATCCTAACCCTAACCTTAACCTCAACACTAAACCTAATCCTAACCCCTTATATGTTTTTGACATGTTACTGAGAGTCTGTTGAGTGTTTGCTTCATCTAAAAGGACCACTCAAATAAAGCGTCACCAAATAATGCTATCCCTATAAAGATGATATAAGACACCACCCTGCTTTCTTTGCTGGAAGTTACAGGTTTGGCACTGACTAGATGGTGGTTTTGTTCACTGGCATGTAGGAGTTATTTGAATCTGCTGTTTTTACTTTTCTAAAGTTGCAAGCATTGGCCTCCTTCTGTTGCAGCTTTTCCCTTATTTGTCATGTACTCTCATGGTTTAACATTGCTGCCTCTGTGCCTGAGACAGCTGATATTTAGATACCAAATACTTGGCATTTTCACATTTTCTACAATTTGTTATTTACATGCATGTCTCAGTTTAGAACATCACATTTTAAGTGTTGATTATAAAATGTCAATCAACAGCCAGAAACATATTGGAGACTTGTATTAGAATTAACAAGAAATGGATGGATTGTTTTCAGTACACCATCTCATTTGGCATGTTCTTTATAAAATCCTATACAGTTCAGTAGTGTGAAATAAGTCAGATTGGCTGATTTCTTTTTCTGTGCTTTGGAGGCTATCTGAGAACTTCACACCAGGCTGCAGTCAAAAAAAGCCAAACTGACATAAGCGCTGACTTCTCTCTTTTCATTTGGCCTGTTCAGTGCTCGTAGAGTCCATTTCAAACCATTCCTTTGAGATAAAAGCCCAAGATGGATACCATCCACACCTGGCATAACCTTTTCTGAAAGGACTCTCTTATGGTGGTGGCCACAAATGGAGGTTTTAATGGGTGCCCTCTTTTTTCCCTTCTCTATCCTTTTTTTTTAGTCTTAATACTTTCTGTTCACTTCCACAGAAGTGTGCAGTCCTGCAGTCTGAACGTAAAATCCTCAGACCTTAGTGACCTTTGCTAGCTGCCTTAGGGGGAGGAGGATGAATCCTGTGGAGATAGAGGGACTTTCTCCAGGGTGTCTTTGAAGGCTCCTCATGGGGTTCCGCTCTTGTACTGGCACCTGGTCGGATCCAGACTCTGCAGGGTCCCAGCTCATCCTAAATGATGAGACGGCTTGGCAGTTTGGACTTGGATTATACAACTGTGGAGCTTTTGAGCCTAGTAAGGCTGGCACACATCAGGAGTTGAACGTTTAGTCCTGTAGAGATGGAGCCAGCTGTGGTTACATAACTAGAAGAGGTAGAGAAGTGGCACTATATGGACAATGCTTGTTCTTATTTCAGTACAGTGTTAACATACTGGCAGAGCCTTATGTTGTGGTGTACTCAATTCATAAATTCATTCCATTTATACGTTGTGTTATATCGTAATGGTCACGTGAGAAAAGATCTTAAAAGCTTTTAAACAAAGGGTTTATATATGTGAAGTTATCAATCCCCCTTTCTTCCTCCAGTGCTTTCTGCAATAAAGACCAATCAGGAAGTGTGCTACCAATCACTCCAGCCAGCCCTTCATAGATTTCCAGCTCCGTCCTGCTCATCTGACCGCCGCATCAGAGCAAATTTTGTAGATGAGAGCATCTCCAGCAGCACTTCAGTGAACAACTTCATTCCAGCGTGCCAGCTAACCCCTGCCACTCGCTGCAGCCTCCCTATCCCACCCATCAAATTAATCAACACGCTATTCACTTTACAATTTCAGAGTTTCCTGAGGGATCAACGAGGACCCCTACCCCTTCTGCTGTTCCCCACCTCCTCCCATTGATTGGACGGCTCCTCTTCCTCATTTCTATGCTCCGTGCGGTTCAGGACGCAAGCCTATCCCCTATAGTTGAAAGGGTGCCACCCAAGGCTGAGGTTGATTTTTGTTGTTGTTGTTGGCTTGGTTTTCATTAGTGTTGCGCCCTTGATGAGCAGTTCGATTATCTATCAACCATAAGGGGGCTGCTTTGCATGTAAACAATATTCTGTCAAAGCCAGAGGAGGCTCTGTGAATATCAAATATCCAGCTTGGGTCAACTCTACAGCCTCAATATCATCTGAGGTGGTGATATGGCTTTTTTAAAATAGTATTGAACTCATATGAGAACTCATATTCTCAGAGGCGCGCAGACCCCAAGAGTAGCTGTTGTAGGTTTATATAAGCGCTGCTACAGTTTGACTTTATTGCATGGATACACTGAGGTAAATGTGCTTTAAATGAGATGCAGAAGTTCTCCTATGTTGCTAAAAACTATTAATTTGTGTGGGGAGACATGCTTGGTTGGCCACCGACCATGCAGCACCATATTTTGACACTCAAACTGCAAAAGCATTTCTGTTTGTGGGCAATTATCCAGCTTCACCTACATTCACTAAACCAATGTGTAACTTTGGGGATGGGGATGGTGCTGCT